ATGAATAAAGAAACACCACCAGAAGAGCGACCATGTTTGGTGGAGTCCAAATCAGAATGAAAAGAAGTATAATCACAAACTCGTTTAGACAAAAATTTCATTCGTTTAGGCGATAGGTGTGTATCAACGATACCACCAAAGGAAATGTGATTTTGTAAAAAGAAAGAAGAGATTTGGTCCATTTTAAAGGAACCTTGGCCAGGAGTTTTAAGACCATTAACATTAAAAGAAGAAATGTTAAAAGAATTGGGAATGGGGAAGTAGAGGAAGAAGAAGAAAATAAAGTATCAGATAAAGGGTCATTAAAAATATCACTAAAATTAACGGGGTTGGGGATTTCGCACAAAGGTATCATAATCTATATTATCGTTCATCATTATAACACAATGATAGAAACTGCAGGGTGAAAGAAAGGGATAACAAATCAATCAGACGAAGTCTTATTGACTAAGTCCGAGGAAGAGCCACCAGAAATGGAGCTAATAAATCTTTCAATAGAGCCGGATAAGTGGTCAAATTTGTTATCTAAGGATCGTTGAAATGAATAAATTTCAGCACGTTCTTTATTAATAGTTACTTCATCAGCAGTTTCGGGGATGGGGGAAAAAGAAATGGTGGAATGGGGAACAGAAACCGTTGGGAGAGGGAGAACCGGGCCAGAATTAGACCTGTTCGAAGTGGACAGGTTAGATTGTGTTATATAAGGGGGGTGCTTTGGTGATTGTCAACTAGCATGTATGAAGAATTATTAGGGTCAGGTGGAAGAACATCGTCTTGCTTATGTCCAAAAACACGAAGTTCCAACCAAGACATCCTCTGATCAGCTAATTCAAAAGCATGAATTCTAGCACGTACACTAGCCATATCTTCTTGAAGGTTTTTAAGCACCGAAAGGATCTCTTGAATTTGGGAGCAATTAGGATCCACCAAAGGAGGTTGTTTATGGCCAGATGAGTTGGGAATGGAGGTACTATTACGTTGGGAAGTGGAAAAGGAAACTGAACGGTCTTTGCCTTTACGCTCATTAGAGCGAGGTCATTGTGCAGATTGGATAGATTTATTGGAATTAGAAGGATTGGGCGAAGAAGTGTTATTGGTATTGTTATTGCTCCGTCCGGTGTTATTGGCTGAATGGTTACGTTGTCGGGAATTAGAATGATCTTTGGATTGAGAACGGGAACGATGTCTATTGCGATTAACAGAAGAGTCATGGTTATTAGATCGTCCAATATTAAAACGTTCTTTTAAGTGTGCAACAGGATTACGGGTACGTGAGCGACCACAAGAATTGTTCAATGGGCATGCAGTAGGAGCGCAGCCAAGTTTGCCGCATCTGTGGCAAAGCTTGTTTGTATTCTCTGGGAGTTCCCATTGGAGTCTGTGGCCTTGCAGGGCGACTGATTGTTCCATTGCGGTGTCCATCATTTGTTGTGATTGAAAAGTGATGTAAGCCCATCGTTTAGGTTTATAGGAATTAAGAGATAGTGGGATATTAACGGCCATAGCGCCAATTGCTTGTACCAAGGGTGCTAAATGCACATCTTTTGTGTTAGGAGGGAGCTGAGATAAAACGGTGATGAATTTACGTCGTGTTTTCTTTTGATCAAGGGTGAGGGAGCATGGTGTAATACGTAAACAAGTGGAATAACAATAGATTGCCCACTGTTTATCCATGAAATGTTGGATAGAAGAAGCATCATCATAAACAATACGAGCTTGCTGAACTTTAGCATTGGTACGTGTATGGATGCGACAGGATTGTATGTTACCATATTTTTTAAAAAGAGCAGTAATGTCATCTTTCTTGATGAAGAATGGAATGTCAGTGACTTGGATAGCCCGGAGATCTTCATCAGTTCGGAGTTGCTGAGGGTCATGTAGAAAAAATCAGAGATCGGCAAGATCATCATGTTGGAGAGAAAGGCAGGCATCACGTTCAGTAGTTGAATTAAAATGAATGACTAATCGTTTGAGGTCACCAGAACCAGACATGCGAGCGCGGCCAGTGTAAGAGTGATAAGTTTCCAAAAGGAGGTTATTAACAGCGTCAATCATAGCCCGATTGGTAGGATACTTTTTGATAAATTCAGGGGAAGTATTAGGAGCTGCAGCAGCCTGATAATCACGCCTAAGAATGGAAATAGTGGGCGTGTCAAGGGGAAGAGAAGAAGTATCATTGGTATCCATAATATCTTTATTAGGAGACACGTCTAAGGGGGAAGTTTCTTTGTCTTTTGGGGCATGCATGGACGCGTCGGTACCAGACGTGACAGTACTAGGCGCAGAAGGCGCAGTAATATCTTTGGGAGGAGGAGACGAAAAGTTATCAGCATTATTTTGTTGAGGAGGAGTAGTATTGCTGCCTCCAGCATCAGCCGCTGAGTCGGCGACGTAGTCTTCTTCCATAGGTTTTTCTGGGAGCGTACGTGTTCGTTTGGAAGGGTTGTTTTTATTGTTTGTTTGTTCATTATCTGAGTTTGAAACGTCAGAGCCAGAGTCTTTATTTTTGTTTCGTTTGTCTTGACGCTTGGCAGGTCCCCCGTTAGGGTTATTGCCAGCTTTTTTGTTACCTTTGGGAGGCATTTTAGTAGTAAAATAAGAGATGTGTTAATATGAAGAATAAAAATTTCTTTCGCAAAATTTTTGACCAAGGATCTACAAGAAAGAGTTGGCAGATCGGGATTAAGTCACACTTTCAGCAAATTAGCCCATTTTTCAGGGGCTTAAAAAATCAATTTTTGTAAATATTTCAGCATCCAGTAGTCCAATTTTGATGAACATTTTTTTAAATTGTAGAGCTAAATGAGGGCCACAAAATAAAAAAAGTTCATTAAAATTGAATCACTGGATGCTGAGATATTTACAAAAAATGATTTTTTGAGTTTTAGCAAAAAGGGGTGTTTTTGGCCAAAAGTCCATTATAACTTTTATATTAGATATCCAGGATCCTCAAATATGGTGCAAGTACAACAATTATAGTATAGTAAGTAATATAATTAACCTTATTGATAGTAAACAGTTAGAAATAAAGCTAATATATGTTTTAATTACTCAATCTGAATTTTTCTTATCTTCCTTTTAAAGGTTATACAAATCCTGTAATATATTTTCTATATTATCTTTTTCTTTTATTTATTTAAATCTTCTAATTTTTTGTATTTTATTATATAAATTTTTGTGATAAATGTAAGTAACTGGATATTTTTTAGTTAATAATTTGTATATACTTTAAGTACTTATAGTTGGAACTGCAGTAAGATATTTTAATATATCAGTTTATTTCTTTTAAAAACTAATGAAATTGAACTTCATAAATTTTAATATTTGGATTTAAAGGATAGTTATATTTATCAACTATTATGAAGATTTTAATAATTTTTGTTAATTTTGAATAAATTACATTTAAATAATACTAATAACCAATTGATTCAAAACTTCATTGAAAATCTTTATCTTGATTGGTATTAAACTAGGACCTGAACAATACTGATATAACTCACATTTGAGGATATATTATTATACTCTGGAAGGAATGGTCATCTATAAATGGACTCCATCGCACATATCACAACACCCTAAAGCGGTCAGCATCATATAGGATACTAACTTTGACGGGTTATCATATAGCACATCCTGAAACCATCTTGTGCCAAGACCTAACCCCATGTGGCCTTCCTTACTAACCATTCATCCACTATAAGGTAGCCTCTAGCTAGTATATTTTTGTACAAGTTCCCCCAGCTAATGGTACAGTGATGGCTTTCATAATATCAGTTAACTATTTAGAACCCTTCCATATCACCATCTTAGATACTAGGTTTCACTCAAAGGCTACTACAGCTCGTAATTACCTATCACCGATGGTATAGTTGTGAACCCTTAGTGGTAGTTATGAAGGTATACCAACACAGACCGTGACCACCAGGACAGGAAACCTCAAGAAATCTCTAGGATCACCTTTTATAGTGGCTACCATACCACCAAGGATTACCAACTAGGAGCTGAGTATGGTAGGGAATCGAACCCCATATTTATGTCCTGATACCATTGGTTCAGAAACATACAGGTTGGTCTAAACCTATTAGAAGGTAAACTAATATGAAGACATTGCACCTTGACTTTACCATTTATGGTACCCATCTAGCACGACAAACCCCACGCAGTAAAGTTTGCCACACTCTTAGTGGTATAGTTCTTACTAGTGACCACCAAGACAAGATACCACTCCTAAGGTATGCAAGCAGTGACCTCAAAGACAAGACTCTGAATTTACCAACGATCTCTTAGGGAACATGAAAAGAACATCAAAACTCTTTGTTGAAATATGTGACCGTTACTGTACATATTAATACACCAAGATGCAATCCAATCCAACTAATCCCTGTATCTTCACGCTATTGGTGGTAGCATCTACAGTAAAATTCGTTTTATTTCTGTGATTGGCAGAATTGAACCTGCGACCTCACCATACTCAGGCTTAATGAGGGTCTCAATCATATACTACTGAGATATGGTTAAGGTTGCTTGTCTAAACCTCTTCAAAATCTTATGATTAGTTTCATCAAAATTTTACTATAGATTTATTATAGTTTTGGCAGAGTTTCGGCAGTTTCGGCATTTATAATAAGTTTCGGCAGTTTCGCCTTTCTCTAAAGTTTCGCCAGTTTTTTAATATAACTTTAATATAGTTTCGGCAGAATTTCACTTTTTGGCGAAACGCCATCTTGCCTAAACCCCTAGGTTTCGGCAAGCAACCTTAGATATGGTGATATAACTCACATTTGATAGACTAACAGTGATTTTTATTAATCATTTATAACTTCGTACACTCAAAATACAATGAAAACAAAAAGTAAATAAATAAACTAAACAAAAAGAAAATAGTCGCACAAATTTGTACATATAGAGAAGCAAACTAAACTATAAATCCCAAACTTGTATATCCCAACTTTAAACCTAAAAAGCAAAGTTTCAGATCAACTACCCAAATCCAGAAAATCTTACCCGATCTTACAACCTGCCAAGATATTATTCCAGATGAGGACTGTTCGACTCTTCAGAAAACCCAACAGGTGATGAAACCATGAGAGTCGTTGGGTTAAAGAGGAATGGAGCCATTTGATACCAAGAGAGGACCATTCAGAAGCCTGAAGCGGAGAAAGAGGCTCATCGGCCTGAGACAGAGCAATTGGAGGAGCAGAAAAGCGGAAAGGTTGAACAGAAGGTCCTTTGTATGATCGAAGAGTACTTGGCAAAATTCCTTTTGCCGTGTCTTTTGTAACTTTAATTTTACACCTTGATCGCCAAAGACCATGATAAATTTCGCGTTGTAATTTCAAATATATACGGGAAATAATAGGAGTCAGGAGATAAAGATTTATAATTAAGACCAGAGCAGCGAATAAGGCACCTTGAAAGATCACATGGGATGAAGCCTCAGAGAAACCAAGAAGCAGAAAAAGAGGAGTAATTATTATTCAAAAGCAAATCTGGAAGACCAAGCGTCGATAAATTATGAAGAGCCATAAGAAGTTCATCATATGATTGTTTGCAACGTGGAGAAGAGGAAACCTTAGTAGCAAGTTTGACCAGAAAACGTTCAATAAGATCTGTAGTTACATCTTTGTGATTCAGAAGCACAGGGTTATCATCCTCAACATCCAGGTAGCTAGGTGAACAAATGAAAAGATATTCTAACGTTTTCATGAAAGTTCCACAAATCGGACACAAGGAGTTATCAGCATATAGGCCAGGAAATCTTTGGGAAAGTTTATACATGATAGGAAGTTCATCAAACCAAAGTTTAAGACGGAATTGCGTAAAAACGGAAGTTTTGGTTACGGCGTTGTTCGGATATAAAGTTTGTCTAAAAATTTCAAAAGAAAGAGACCAATCCATAACATAAAAAGTAGATTGCAAGGGCGAAAAACGGGAAAGTCCAATCAAAGAGAAGAAATGGCAAATATCAGTGAAGGAACGCCAATAATCAACTGGGTCTCGAGTTAAAAGTTCATCATATCCAGTGAAGAGACCCATGGTTTTCAAAAAGGAAGGAAAGATATCATCCATAAATGGTGTAGGTTGCAATAAGGCAGGCCAGTCAGGTGTTTTAAAAAGATTACGGGCCCAAACAGAATATGTGGGAATAGAGTCTTTGGTAAAACTAAAGAATCTATAAGTAATTCTTCTGGATATCAGCAACTCTGAGATACAGGACCATAAAGAATGATTTTTCATTCAGACACGTTGTATAGGAGAAGCGTCACACCATCTTGAGAACAACGTATCAAAATTAAACAGGGAAACAAAGGACACAGACGAATCCAAAAAAAGGGAATTCAACACGTATAATATAAAAGCTAGTTATGCAACATCGTTGTATGGAGAAATCATAGGACAAGAAAAAATTCTAGAGTCAAGTATGAAATCGTCAAGGGTTTGTACCCAGGCACAGACCAATAATGAAGTTGTAGAATCAATGGCGTGAAGAGTTCCAGATATATGGAAAGTGGTGTCCGAACTTAGGGCAAAATTACAATTTGGTACTGGAGTAAGATCGGGTAGTAGGGCAGGAGAACTGTCACAATGCAATAAAGGTAGTTGTGCTAATGCTATATATCTATCAGGAACATATAGTTCAGAAAATCCAGATAAAAATCTAAAATAAGAACATAAAATAAAAGGAGAAAGTTTTAAATTAATAATTTGTTGAGAAATATCTACATGTACAGTCATTTGAAAAAGTTGCAAACAACGATAAGAAGGTAAAACAGATAAACAAGAACGATGAATTAATTTTCCGCCAACTGTTTTCAAAGCCAAAGGGCCTAGGGAACAACCGGGACAAGGAGTAATCTGCATTTGATTATGCATAGTGAGAATCCAATGGGAGAAATATACAACCCGAGTACCAGAGTCGTCATCAAAAGTATAAAAGACCCGCCCAAAAATAAGAGAATTTGAAGAATCAATTCCAGCAATCTAATAATACTTATTTCGGAATCGAATGTAAGAGGAAGTATTAATTGTATCAACAAACTTTCCCACCAAAGTTGATAAGGATGGAGTAATATCAATAAGTCTCATACGTTTAGGTAAAAGAGAAGTTAGACTGGAAAGAGAGATAATAATCCGAAACCAAGAAGGAGTTTTTCCAGTGGCGGCAACAAGGCCCATATGCTTAAGGTCATTCCATGTAAATGGGAAATTATAAAATAAATCCACAACTTGTGAAAGACACCAGAGAGCAGATTTAAGCCAAGAACGCGTTTCTAGAACAGCCAGGTTAGAAGATAAAGAGACTAAAGGACACGCTTCATCAGGCATTAACTTGAGAAATGTATAATCTGAAAAATCAAATTGGAGTCCAGATTCTCAAAGTAATTTGATGGCTTGAAAAAGCCAGTTATGACTAATTGAACGGCGTTTGGAAGTCCATAAAGAAAAATCTATAAGAGAATCAAGAGAATTAGGCCATTTTAAAGTAAGCTGCAGAGTTCGTAACATAATTAGAACCCAATTCGCCTGCTTGGAACCAGTGGACAATAAAGAGATCCAAGATAGGAAACGACATAAAAGTCGTTCACATAAAGAATCATAAGGATTGGCATCTTTACTGAAAAACCTGCTAGTCAAAGCTATAGAAGGAAAAGTGCGAGCCACAGAAAGAGCTTTGCGTTGTAAACCATAATATCTGTTAGCGATTCGCATAACCTGTGATTCTGACAAATATAATACTTGGAAGCAGAATTGGACTTTCGGTAAAACAACCGAAGAGTGAAGATAAGCCAATTGAACAGGGAATAATTTCTTAAATCGTACAGACGTAATAAAGGAGGAGTAAATATCTTTAAGTTGTGAAAGGACAAAATTAGGGGATCCTAGTAAATTGAACCAAACACCCAAAAACCGAAAATATGAGGATAATCTCAGGGCTTGTAAAGAGAAGCTCATAGAAGAAAGATAAGCCGGAATTTCAGAGACCAATTGAAAAGAAATTAAATTATTGCCAGCTGAAGAAGAGACTAACTCGTATTTTGAGAAGTTTACTGTAATATTTAAAAAATAAAAATCATGAGCTACAGAAAGTAATTGTTCTAAGCCCGCCAAAGAAGAAGCAATTAAAGTGGAATTATCCATATAGGTAAGTTGAGTAATAGGTACGGCAACATCTTCATTATTATTGATGTCAAGAATATTTGCAGAGATACCAGAACTTCATATATAAGGGGAAATTGCTGATGATGATAATTTAGTCAAAAGGGGATCGAAGTAAATAGTCCAAAGAAGTGGAGAAATGACCTCGCCTTGATCAATACCGATCAAAAGATCGTATGATTCAGTTTTGCCAAAAGGAGTTAAAATTCTATTCTTCCTAGAAGTAAATAGACTTATTATAAAGTTAGAAAGATTAGAGGGAAATTTAAGCCGGTCGAAACAAAGTCGAAGCATGCTCAGATCTATAGAATCAAACGCTTTAGAAATATCTTGACTTAGAATCCATAATTCTTGCGGGATTTGAGAAACACGGTGGCTTTTCATAATGCCATCAAATATATTAATAGGAGTGTTGACAGATGAACCAGGGAGTCCAGCAAAATTGTCACCAGTAAGCACTTGATATTTAGTTATAATTCGAGAAAGACGATCTGTAATAATTTTGACCAACAATTTCCGAGCAGTTTCCAATAAAGTAATTGGGCGGGTATTCTTTAATAAACATTCAAACTCATGAGGTTTAGGAATGGGTACAATAGAAGCTAAACGCCAATCCTCAGGGATATCGGATTTCGCCAAACACGAATTCATCAGTTTACACAGATAAAGGATTCCCTCAGAAGATAATAATCTAAACCATTCATAAGGTATGGATGAGGGACCAGGAGCCTTGTGGTGTGGAGAGTTATTAATAACTGCTAGGAGTTCTTCTTCAGTAACAGGCGCCATAACCATTAAATATATATCTGGGTCAATTGAGGAGATAGGAGTATAGTGACTTTTCCATCGATCAGGAAGACCGTGAAGGGTTTTGAACGGAGATTGACTGAAACCAACCACATTTTGAAAATGTTTAATAGCAGCCTTATGAATGTCGTCCGGTGCAACCAACAATTGAGGATTACCAGGTATATCAGTGATAAGTACTCGATCCAAGACAATACTACGCTTTTCACGATTCAAGGAGCTACAGATAAATTTTCCTTTATCTTCATAAAAATTGGAGTTCCGTTCAGCAATAGCTGCTTTCATATCAACTTGTTTAAAATTATCCAATTCCACGGTGATTTTTCCAGAAATAAACTGTTTAACGGTTCGTAAAGAAGTTCGAAATTTTGTTAAAAAGGATAGAAAATCTAAATGCAAAGATGTAAAGACCGAATAAAGTGATGTAGGATTAGGAAGAGTATCAATAAGGACACTCTGATCGGGAAATAGGTCAATAAATTCTTTATAAAAAGAAGGAAAAAATCGATTCCAAGAAAAATAAAGATCAGAAATCGAAAAGATTTTAAAAAGTGAACTAATATAATGATCTAATTTATGACTAAAGTGATTAAAAGGTCTAAGTTCAAAGGGAATAGTTCAAGGCTTATTCAAGGAAATAACTTGTTTGGGAAAAGCACAACGAGCAGCATTAAGTAAGGCAGATTTCAGTCTATGCCAGTCATTATTAAGATGTCCAGTACCATAAGAAGGTGCAAGTTGTTTAAGTCCAGAATCCACTTTCGCAGTGAAAAGAATCTTTTGTTCAGGGAGAGCAGCATGAACATTAAATTCGGTTCGATAACGTGAGCGCTGTTTTAGATAACTCAGAGTACGTAGATCACGAATATTGAGAAAGTCGAAGAAAGCGATCAATAAAAAATGATCAGAGCTAAAGGTGTCTGAAGAATCTAAAACATACAACCACAAATGCGCAGCAGGAAAAGCAAAAGAAGTCCAAAAATAATCCAAACGGGATAGATGGTTAGAACTCGAGGATCGAAAAGTAGGTAGTGGGGAAGAAGAGAAATCAAAAACACATAAATCATCAAATTGATGTAAATGTAAATATCGAAACAAAGGATTAATAGGGGATAATATAGTAGGATCAGAAATATTTTTAAGAAAACTATCAAATTCAGCATTCAGGTCGCCTTCTAACAAAACATGAGCACCAGTTGAACGTGCCTCGGTAATCCAAGAAATAAGAGTGGAGTGACATTCAGAAATTAATTTATTATTAAGTCCATTAGAAGGGGGTATATAAGCTCCAATAATAAAAATATTTTGTCGACCTGGTAGCTGTAGAAAAAGTGATATTAAACGGTCCTTAAAGAATCATTTTCTGATTACATACATAGCTAAACTAGAGTGAAAAATAATTCCAACACCCGCATGATGATTGATGGAAGATGAAAATGAAAACCATTTGTGATATGAATATTGTGATAAATAAGGTTCACGCACATATTTGTGAGCGGTGAGATCTCCCAATTCCCTCTGTCATCAATTTACAGAGTTGCCACATCGAACGGGCATTCTCATGGTCAAACGAATGAATAATCGAATGAACGAACAAATAAACGAACAAGCAAATATTCAACGGCATAATTAACAAACAACGTAATCAACAAACAACATACAACAACATGTAACGACAACATTCTTGGTTCACAACATAAATAGCGTTAGTAATATAAAACGTTGAACGATATAAAATAAAATTTAACTTCTCTAAATTTTCCCCAAATTATATTCACTTTTACCTTTAATTTCAAACTTCGATAGCTCTCGCTACGAATTATTACTTTTCAAAAATGTATATTTAATTCATCTTAAAATTTCATTTTATTCAATTAAGATTTATTAGGCAAACATTAATCAAAGTTTAGAGCGAACCTATTACCTTTAATTAACATTAAACTTTACTAACAAATAATTAAATGAAACTTATATTTTTTATTGAGTTCTGTGGATGAGAACTATGGAATTACTTTGAATTCCGCTCTCTATTTATACAAATTTTATGCTACTTTCTATTCTTTCTATATACTATCTATATTTAAATACGTTATCTTTTAATACACTATCTTTCTATTTTTAATATGTTATATTCCATCTCTTATATACCATCTTTTTAATATGTGTTATATTATCTTTTATATTATCTTCTTATATTATCTTTTATGGAAATAAAATTTAGTAAAAATGGAAGTAAAATTTAAGATATATTGTAAATTTTGTAATCAAAAGTTTATCTATAGAATAGTAAAATTCAAGAATGAATCTTTAGAAATCTTTAGAATAAAAAAAATATTAAATAAGGATTTTTTAAGAAAGAAAGATAAATGTCTGCAAGAAATAATAAAACATGAGAATGAATGTATGTATTTTCGTTATGCGTATTCCTTTAGTCCGCTATCCCTCCATTTTATATGATTTACCTTTTGTGGCTTATAATTATTCTTTCTAATTGTTCTTGTTGTTAAAGATTGCTAAGCCGCAATTGATCGACTCTAATTATTCTATTAGTTCTTCGTCAATCACTTGATAAATATTACATCATGTAGATCATTATTCTTCCTAAATGTTTATCCTTTTCGGCTAATTATTTATCCATCTACGCCAATTCATAATTAATTTGTTCGTTCCTAATATTTGGCAATTACATTTGGTAATCGAATTTTATCATCTTTTCATGCTTAATATTTGACCGTTTACAGCGGGTGATCGTAAATTAGTTTCAGTAAGGATTAAACCATGAAGTTGGTGGGAAAGCAATAGAGAAAATAAATTTAATTGTTTTAAAGAGTGAACTATAGAACGAACATTAAAAGTACCAATTCGTAAAACATTAGAAAAACTAAGTTCACGATTAAATTGATCAGGAGAAATGTCAAAACAATGGGGAGGGGAAGGAGAAAGTAAAAGATTCAAATCAGACGCACTATCAGGGGGTGAGATCTCTGTGAACCACCCATTATATAATTGTTGTCAATCATTTAGAAAGGGAGGGTGGAGCCGGGGAAGAGAAAGACTCTAATTTTCAAGAATAAAGCCTAATTGATTGGAGAGGCTTTGTTGAGTATTGGAGACTGAAGAGATTTCTTGACGCAATTTTGATGAATCATTAGAGGAGCCGCCAAGGTTGACACGATTAGGAAGAGGAGTATGTCTACTGGAAAGGATAGAATTAGAATTAAGACTGGAGAAGAAGGCATCAGGAGAAGTGTCCATGATAGAAAAGTTGGAGTCAGCGTGTACAGGTGAAAAGGAAGAGGTGTTATTAATATTATTGTTATTATCAGGGTCCGTTTGATAGTCCCAACCAGCGTCATTTGGGT